ATAGCCTATGATTTTAATTGCTGGCCAGTCTTTTACTTCCCGGGAATGTGTGGTTGCCTCTATTCTTGCAGTCCTGCTGCAAACTCTGCATTGGCTCCGCCTTGCTCAGACCTCGTTCCCGTTCCCAGCCTTCCGTCTTGCACCTCCTTCTGGACCCTCATTATGGCCCACTGACCCCCCTGCCATCCGAGATACCCTGGTGTGGGCTGTGCCCTCTAGGTGACCACATCCCATTATATTTTATTTTATTATTTTATTTATTTATTTATTTTACTTCATTGTATTTTAAGAACAAATTGCAGAGGAGGTGTTTGATCTTCATGACTTGTGCCAGGAGACTTGCTTGGGATCTCTGCAAGGGATTGGTTGAAACAGAGTTTCCCCAGCTGCACTTCGGTCTGTAAAAATCAGTCACTGGCTTCATGGGCTTGAGTTTTTCTTTTGTTCTTTGCTTTGTTAGAGAGTTTGATCAGATGCAGGGTGGAAAAACCTGGCAGGGAGTGATTAGCGCTAAAGCAACTCAGTCAGGTGTCTCCAAGAGCAAGAACAGGGGCCTGGATGGCCCCGGAATCTCCCATGCAGGCTGCCTGGAGGTGTGGCCAGGAGTCTCAGCCCTGTCTTGTGCCCAGACTGACACGGCCTGAATGTGGCCTTGGTGGGTCTCTCTACTGACTTCATCTCACTCAGAAGCTAAATGGGAATAATCTGTCTGCTCTAAATTTCCCAGAATCCCAAGGAGAAAAAGTTTTTTTTTTTATCAGAATCCAAGGATCATTTATTTCCTAGGTGTGAAGATGGACTCCAGAAAGCTGAAATTAAAATTTCAAGTGATACACGTGGGCTGTTTGAGGACAGTGGTGCTCTTTTTCTATATTGGAGACTCAAATTAGAGAAAAGATAGGGCCTGAGTTGGGTTTTATGAGACTGATCACAGTGGTGTACCATGAGTTGTCGTGGGCAGCTGTAATCTTCACCATCCTTCCAGTCACTTGGAAGCAAGTTTTAAGGCACAGCCCCATTGCACTCTAAGAGTAGGCCCCAAAGGATTTGGTTCTGTGGGTCTCTTCAGAGCTCAGTCTGTGTCTGATGATGTGCTAGGTCGGGCACCCTCAGAGAGGTTGGTGGGAGACGGGACAGCAGGGCAAGGTGCTCAGAGCCTGTCCGATCTTCTCCAAGCCTGGAGCTCAACTGCACTTGCAGGGCTGAGCTCCCCTTTCATTCGCTGTGCTGTTCCCTGTGTTCGTCGCTGTCTAAGCAAGCCTGGAGCTATTCATCTCACTTTACCTGTCATTGCCACACTGGATCGTCCCGCAGTGTGAAGGGGTCAGTGTGTAAGATGCCAGGAGTGACGTTGTGTGTGTGGAGACTGGGACAGATGACGGTGATTCGCACTTATCCCAGCCTCACAGGTCTCTCAGTTGCTCCCCACCATCCCTCCACACAGCATTTACTGGAATCCAAGTGGAGCTGAGGCATCAGAGTCCTGCCCTGGAGCCACCCTTTCTCTTTCTAGTGAACTGCTGCCCCCTAAAAGCGAGACCTTCCCAAAGCAGGGCCCTCATCTGTCAGTAGTGCTGTGTATATCCCATGCTCTGTAGGTCCCCAAAGCCAGCACCCCACCCTCCTAGCTGACGGCCCTGCCTGCTGTTCACACAGCGCCAGCCTTTTCGGGTCTTCACTTAGCCGTCCTGTGCTCTGTAGTTGCCACAGTGTGTGGCCATGCACCCCTGGGTGTGTGAAGGCACAGGGCTCTGGCCCTGGTCTGGGCCTGCAGTTCCTTGGCCTCTCCCTGTGGCCCCAACTGTCTTGTCGCCTGCCTCTTCTGCTTGTCATTTTACTCTCTCCCTTGTGGGCCTGGTAGCGAGGCATATGTCCTGGGAGAGCAGGGAGAGTTCCTCTGTGTGAAGATGGCACTGTGACAGGATTCGTAAGACTCCTTGGGTGCGCAAAACAGGCCTGGCTTGTGGTGAGCAGGCTGCAATTTACTTTCTTGGTGGACTGGCAGCCCAGAAGGCAGGGCACTGTCTGGCTCCATACTGTGTCCTTAGTGCAGCTGCACTGGAGAGGTGCTCGGTGTAGCTGTGAAATGCAGTTAATGGGGTGGGGAGGTCACGTGGCTCACTGGAAAGAGTGCGGGTTCTTCATCCAGGGCCCTGGTGACTCTACCCACTCATGCTATGCAGAGCCCTAAGCAAGCCACCCCACCTTGCCGCCTGTTGTGTTCTCTTTCAGTGCAGTGGGGGTTCAGCTGTGAGTGCCATAGCCTTAAACACTTAGGGACTCGATCGCCTCCCCCAGCAGGAAGCTGATTCCCCTGCCCTGCAGGGCACTCTGGAAGTGTCTGGGGCACCAGAGAGGCCCCTTCTCACCATTCTGAAGCTCCTGTCCTTGACCTTACCCAGGTCTGGAAGGGGTAGTGTCTCCTTGCACCTGTGTGTGTTAGGAGGGGTGCCTTTCTTTGGAGCTCCTACAGCCCCCTAATATCCTGTTGGCTGTGATGTATGACAGGAGGACCACGCTGCTTGAGCCTGCAGCAGGGAGGAAGGAGCAGGGAGGAGACTGGGCTGTGGCACAGGATGCTGACAGTGGCTTCCTTGTGGGGTGTGGATGACACAGCTCTTAGCGGGATTTTAAGAACCATTGGGATCTCATAGTGGAAATGGGAAGTGTCACCATGCAAGTGACTCATCCACCCATTAACATTGTGTCTGCCCAGACGCAGGTCTGGCAGTAAATGTGGGTGCCTCTAGTGTGCTGCAGTCTCCCCCATACCCTGTTGCCTGCTGTGTAGGTATCAGGTTCATTTCCCTACCTGCCTGGTATGCCTCAATGCATGGAGCCCTGCAGCTGAGCACTGTGGCACACCCTGCTCCACTGGCTGAAGCTTTTGCCATGTAGTTAGAACCTGGGCATCTTCAGTAGAGAGAGCCCTTTGTTTTCTCGGTGAGTCTAACAGTGAGTTGGGGTTGGCTATGGGTCTGCCAGTCTTCCTGGGATCAGCCACTGCCTTCCAGGGCTGCAGCGGGAGAGGCATGGGCTGGCTGGAGGTCAGTCCCCAGGCCACCAGACACCCACGTCTGCAGCATGGGCGTCTCTGTGCATGTGGAATCAGGGCAGTAGACTGAAAAGAGCAAACAGACCCTAAAAGACCTTGTTACTGTGTCCACCCATCATGCGTTCACAGGTGTAGAGTTTCCTACTCTTTATTGTCTTTAATGGGCATTTCCTATTACTTTGAAAGCTGTGGGCATTTTGTGTGAGTCCAGACCTTGTGCCAGTTTTTTTGTCTTGTGTGTTTGTTTTGTTTGCCTTTTCTTTCTTCCTTTTTCATTTGTTTTCTCAAAGGAAAAAAAAAAAAAAGTCCAGCTTCTTTCTTGCCTCATGGTGTAAATCCTACCATCTTGCTCCTCTGGCTTCCCAGTGTTCTGAGAAAGGCCTCACTTTCCCAGTTTGATTTGCAGCATCCTCACAGGGAGCCTGATGTGATAGCCTGGAGCCCTGGGGGTGAGGTTGTTTTAAGGCAAAGATGCAGAAGGGTTGGCTTTGCAGAGCTGGTGGAAGTGGGGCAAACCTGTCGTTACGAGTTAGGATTTGAAAGCTGGGTTTGGGGAGGAGAAGGGTGTTCAGAGCCACGTCTGAGTGCGGTGGTGACCAAGTCAGTGTTGTGCTATGCGGGCGTGGTATGGGGCTGAGAAGCCCCAGGAAGGCCGTGTCCTCCAGTGTCCGAGTGTGAGAGGAAGGTGAACCACCTAGTGAGGAGAAGCAGAATGAAGAGGGCATCTTTCTCAGCATCTGCCTTGGAACACATTCACGATTATTTACACACGTGTGTTTACAGCTACACACATTTAATAAATATTCATGGGCAAAAACACATGCAGTTCACTGCAGAACACTGACTCCTGAAGTTTTAGGTTTAAAATAAAAAGAAAGTACAGAGTTCAGAATGAATCACCAACTCGTTTTCCAAAATCGTTTAAAAATTTTAGTAAACTACACATAAATTCACCATGTAAGCCATTTTATTGGTGTATAGGCTCTATAGTGTTAGGTATTTTCACACTATACAATCTGAGGTCATTTTACAAGAAAAGACAGAGGGACCCCACCGATACTCTCCATTTCCTGAGAGACAGAGGGTTCAACACCAACAGGAAGAGCCAGGCATGGTGGTGCACACCTATAACCCCAGCACTCAGAAAGCTGAGGCAAGAGGATTTCTGGAGTACAAGGCCAGCCTGGGCTACATAGTGAACTCAAGGCAAGCTTGGGCTGCATAGTGAGACCTTGCCTCAAAAATCAAAACACCAAGACAAGTGGAAGGAAGGGGAACTTGTCCAGGGAAGAAATGGGCCCTGGCTCTGTGGGTGCATCTCTGGATGGCTGGCGGGAGTCTGAGCAGGTCCCTGTGGCACCCTGGGTGTGGGTGCCACTTGCCTGCTGGGAACGGGGACCCAGGTGAGCCAGGCTTTGGCCTCAAATAACAAACAACTAAGACATGAAGTGAGTTTACTGTGTCTCATTTCGTGGCCTTCTGTGTTTTCTTCAGCACATAGTGGGATGTTTGGAACATTCTTTAGAAAGCAGTAAGTAGGAAGGCAACTTGATGAGGATAAGCTACAGAGCTGTCAAGGAGACAGTGATGGGCTCAGTGCTTTGCTGTGGACAGAGCTCTTCTGTGCCAGCTGATCACCATGTTGTCCCTCTACTGAATGGACCAGGGCGGGGACTAGACAGTGACAGACCAAGCACGGGCAGTGTTGTCCAGTCTGCTAAACCTGGCGCAGTCAGAGGGAACATGTGTGTGTGGCAGTTTGCTCGTGGCTCAGGTGTCCATGCAGTCAGCGTCCTCTGTGTCCTTGGTGTGGCTGACCAGCTGCTGTGCTAGGTATCCAGCAAGGCCACATCAGTGGGTCCCTCCTGGGTGGTAACTGATATGCTGGACGTACAGGTGTGTGTTCACACACGTAAATGCTTTTCTTTCTCTGTTTTTAAATCAGCTGTCGAAATTGGAGAAGCAGCAGCAGAGGAAAGAGAAGATCAGAGCCAAGGGGCCCTCGGAATCCAGCAAGGAGCGCACTGCCCCCCGGAAGGAAGACTGCAGCGCCAGCAGTGGGGCGGAGGGTGATGTATCCTCCGAGCGGGAGCCATAGCCACGGTGCTCAGGCCGAAGGTGGGGGTCCGGGGAGGGGAACGGGCTGGCTGCCCTTGGAGGCAAGAGGCCATTGGCTGGGCCCTGGTATCCATCCGTCAAGGATGGAGCGGTCACAGGCCGGCTGCCTGTGTGAGGGATATGGTGAAAGGGTGAACGAAGAACTAGAGACAGATTTAGTGATGCGTCAAGGGGGCCAAGAGGGCAGAGCCTTTGGATGGGCAAAGCCTAAGACTCTCCCCTGACCCCTATTATATCAGCCAGTGCGCAGGAGGGGTGGCCAGTGATTCTGGAAACAGCAGTGGTGAGTACTGTGGGCTGTTGTGAAACACCAAGCATTCTTGCAAGGATGAGACAGGGCCAACAGGGGAACTGTAGTTTCTCCAGGTGACACTTTTTACCACTGCTTTAAAGACCTTCGTCGTTCTCAGCAGGTCTTATTTCACCCTGTGAGCACTGCAGTGTCACTCACATTGGGCTTCAGCCATGAGCAGGAGAAAGTGGCGGATTTCCTCATTGCACTCTGATTCCCAGGGCAGGACAAGGACAGTGTTGGACACCCTTGGAATCAGTTTATAATCCATGGCCCCTGACACTATTGTCACTGCCTTCCTCCTGCATGGCATGGCCACTGTACTCCTGAAATGATGCCTTGTTCTTCCTCCCTTCCATGCCCAGGCCGTTCTGGGGTTTGCTGTAACAGTGAGCCCCACTCCCTGCACCCAGTTGGACCCAGCAGTCCCTGGGCAGGGCTGAAGGGTGGCTGGCCACTGAGGGAGTCCCCAGGGGAAGTCACGGTGGGAGTAGAGGGGAAAGGCAGATAAAAGATGTACAGGAGATGGCATTGTTTCAGCTCAGTGACTACTTAGGTGCAGGGGTGGGGGTGGGAGGAGGATAGCATGGTTGGGGACAGAGAGGACACATGCCAAGTGGGGGATGCTGGTGGTACCCGTCTGAGTCATGGTATGTTGAGGTGGCCACTGGCAGCCAAGGCAGCGTTACTGGTGAGTGGAGTCCAGGTTGAGAGCTGAGGAGTGAGGTCTTAGGCACTCTGAAGCCTTTAGCTCATAGACATCAGGTTCAAACCAGGGCAGAAAGCTGGTGTGATGACACAGGCCTATAATCTCAACACTTGGGAGACTGGGATGGGAGGATCATTGTAAGTTTGAGACCAGCCTAGGCTACAAAGTGAGCCCAATGTCAGCCTGAACCGCATAACAAAATCCTATAAAAGACACCAAAACCAAAATAACAGCAACAAAAAACCAGGGCAGAGCCAGGCTCATCCTGGAGGTACTGGCCTGAGAGAGGAGGGTGCCAGCAAGGAGCCTCCCCACTTTGTGCCTTCTTTGAGGGAGTGGGGCTGCGTGTGTGTGGTGGGACTTCCGAGGTGCACATGGCAGATACTGCGGCCAGTGAGTCACAGTCATGATGGTGCCCACTCAGGACATGGGAGCTCAACCCTAACAGTTTTGGTGCTGCCTAATGAGTAGGCCCTCCCATCTCTGAGAACTGTGCTTCTCACAATATGACCTCAGGGAGGTGACAGCTCTGTGTGACCATGCTCTCTTATCACACACTGAGGAGGCTGATGCGCAGGTCTGGGAAGTCGTGTGCTGACCTCATGGTGGGGTCACAGCCACGAGTCTAGCTTTTCCTCAGCCTTGATGCTCAGTCCTGAGGTTGTTCATTTGTGTTCATGGGCTGAAATCGCAGGTGTGGGTTAGGGTTAGGGAGACCCATCAGGAGGTGGCATTTGGTGTCCAAACAGTGTTGCATATTCACAAAGGCATGGTAACTTACAGAGTAGTGTTTAGTCCCAGCCCTTCCAAAACCTCACAGAGACTGTGCCTGTCAGCAGTTGGTTTTGTCACCATCTACTGGGGAATCCTTAATGCAGAGAGGGATGTGGCACCCAGGGACCAAGCATGAGGAGCTGGAGTGGCTCTCGGGCTTGCTAAGGGAGCTGAGCAGCCACACAGGTTCAAGGAGGCCTGATCCCCACCCTGTGGTCTCTGTGTGAGGTTGGCCAGGTGACAGGGTTTCTGTGTCCTTGGTGTTTCTTCCCTTTATGCCACCAAAGCTCCCAGTCCTCAGCAGTGCTGCTGTGACAGGTGCGATGCCAGGGTGCAGCACCGAGAGGCAGTACCTTCTCCAGCAGTCACTGATGCAGAGCCAGGGCAGGATGGTGGCAGGGTGTGAAGGGGCCTGTGAGCCCCCTGGTGACCTCTGAAACACCTTTGTCAGCTCCGGTGCCCCCTCCTCCCAGATCCAGCCGAGGACCCTAACAGGGTGGATGCAGGATGCCTGGTGCTCCAGCCGCAGGTCTACATTGTTTGTCTCCCCTTCTGATGAAGTGTGTCACCCAGATGCTCAGCTAGCCATGAGAGCTGAGCAAGGTGGTGACAGCCAGGAGGTGACGTTGGTATTGGCTGTGCTTGGTGGGAACATAGCTGCCCATTCCAGAGAGGACACAGCGCTTTTCTTGAAAGACAGAAAGAGCTCCTGGGGCCTGGCAGGCCTAGGGCAACAACTTTGCATTTGCAGGGTATGAGAGGCCTGAAGAGGCAGAAGAACACAGAATGAGAAACCACCCTATCTGGGACCTGTTTGTCTTTGAAAATGAGTCAGAAACCACCACGGCTCAGAGGCCATCCGGATAATCATCATCTTCTGATCATGTTGTAAGCGCCCCTTCTTTATCCAGTGGACACAAGCTAGAGTTAGCTGTGGTTTCAGCCTCTGCCTCAGTGCCTCTGGCTCCTCCCTTTGTGGGGGCTCAGGATTCCCTAAGAGCTGCAGCCCGATGCTTGCTGCCCTCGCCTTGTGCCAAGCGCGAGGTCCTGCTTTGGCTGCAGGTCCAGGGCTGCCACCTCTGAGTGTTTACTTAGCTGCTGGAACTGAGGACCAGCACCTGCCCTCTCTGTTCTCAAACATCAGCACATTCAGAACCAAGCAAGGGGCATGTTTGGGGAGCTGCCACCTGCCTGCTTTTTCAACTTGACCTTAAATAGCAAGACACGTTGTGTAATATCCCAGACAGCTGAGTGGGTAGGAGTATTGTAGGCTGTCAGGTAGGGCTGGGCCCTTGAGAGTCAATGCAAAGACAAAAACTCATGACAAATGTGGCAGCTACTGGAGGCTGAGCTGCAAGATAAACATGAAGGGGTCAGGCCTAAGATAAGTGGTAGCGCTTGGTCTAATAAAGCCTCGATAGACATCAGTCACCTGGTGGGGGGCGGTGACTGAGACCCCTGGCCTTCTGTCTTCCTGAAACATTCTTTGTTCTTTCCATGTTCACTTCCTCAGGAACTGCTTCCCGCTGGACAGTTTACTTAAGTGACTATCCTTGTAGTCTTACTGGTTGATCATAGTTTTGTCCCCCTTATATCTGCCTCGTGATTTTGCTCTGTAAAATTTCCCCTGGGAAATGGGGTCCTGGGTGACCCACTTTTCAGGTCCCCTTCTGACTGTCCTGGAGAGAAGCTGTCTTTCCCTCAACAGTTTCTCCTGTTCTTAGAATTCATTCTTGATGTGGGGAATGTGAACTTAGTGCATCAGAGAGCTGGCGGGTTGGAAGCTGTATTTCCCTTATGTCATGTGGAGGTCCCAGATCATTCCTGTATCAGATCACTCCCCTAGAGCAGACCAGCTGCGTGTGCATGCATGTGCATGTGTACATGTGTGTGCATGTTCTGTTGAAAGGGCCCAGTCACTGCCCCCAGCCCGTGTGGGTCGGGCTGGTCCCGTGTGGCCATTCAGACAACTTTCCCACACCTGCCTGCTGGTCCTGAGTGTTGTAACCCTAGCCAGGCCTCTAAGGTGGTGGTGAAATACAAATATTTTTGTATTTCAGCTGAGAACAGTTGTTTCTCAGGCCTTGTCTGGAGTTTGTTAAACACACCTTGAACTTGTCCGAGTCCACCCTGGAGTCATGGTGCACCCCCGACACCATGCTGGCAGCCCCTTCCCCTCCCATTCTGGGGAAGCGGGGTCTCTAGAGTCACTTCCCAGTCATTGAGACTTACTGTCACCACCATCTTACATGGTTATTTTCAAGATGAATTAAGGTTAAGAAAAAGTAAAGACATGGTTTGGCCTTCATTTGTCCCCTGTCCTGGTTCCCTACTGTGCCATGCTGCCCAGAGACCTTCTTTCTGTGTTTCTTGCAGTACATAGTTGAGGAAATTTTTATATTTTGTCTTTGTTTTTGAAGAATAATTTCATTGGTATTGAATTCTAAGCTGTTTTTTCCCTTCAATACTTAAATATGCTATTCTTCATTTATTCTATTTTATTTTAAATACGTTTTGGTTTCTAACTGTGCCTAACTTTACAAATTTATAGGGCACAATGTGACCTGCAGGCAGTGTGGAGTGATCACATCTAGGTCATTGTGTATCTATCACCTCAGGCAGGTGTTATTTTATTTTTTTGTGTGTGCTGGAAACATTCAAAATCCTCTTTACTAGTGAAATATTCAGTCAGGTGTTTTGTTTTGTTCAGGATCTTGCGAGGTCATTCAGGCTGCCCTTAAACTTACCAGATAGCCGAGGCTGACTCTGAACTCACAGCAGTCCTCCTGCCTCAGCCTCCGAGTGGTGGGATTTCAGGCATGCGCCTACGCCCAGCAGTGCAGTCAGTGAGTAGCGTCCTCCTGTGCTGTACAACCTGGGTAGCCATCCCTCCTGCCCAGCTGTACCTGTGCAGCTCTCACTACTCTATATCCTTCTTAGGCTCTGGGAATGCCATTCAGTTCTCTGCTTCTTTGAGATCATTCTGAGCTTCCCCGTACAGTATTAAGTGAGAATATTTGGTATTTGTCTTTCCCTGCCTGGCTCATTTCTCTTAACAGAATGCCCTTTAGTTCCATCCACGTCACTGCAGATGAAAGGATTTCATTCTTTTTGTGGCAGAATAATATTCTGATGTGTTGATATGCCACATTTTTTATTCATCTGCTGCTTGCACAGCTTAGCTATTGGGAATAACTAGAGATAATCCTGGCTATCAGGGAGGCGAGCTTGAGAATTTCAGGGCAACATAGTGAGATCCTGTAACAACAGCAACAGAAACTAGAACTACAAACTTCCTACAACAAAAAGCAAAGAGAGAAGTATGAGGAAAAAAAAAGAAATGTGAGAGAGAGAGCGGCAGGCAGGCATGGAGGCAGAGGCAGAGAGGGAAAAGAATGGAAGAAGGAAAGGAGGAAGGAAGGAAGGCTGTCCAGTAATTGCAAGGCAGCTGGAAAAGGTGCCATAAGATGAGTAGTGATGGCCAAGAAGAACTCTCCAAACTTGACAGATACCAAACAAAACACAAACCCAGGAAGCTCGGTGCATACCCAGGCGTATCCCATCCAGACTGCAGGAAATTTTAAATAAAGCCAGGCCGTGTGTACACGGCTTGGGTTCTGCCACCTTCCTAGGCAGGTGATCTTGGTCCTCAGTTTCCTCCTCTGTGAAGCAGAGTGCTTGCCTCTGGTCCCCTCAGCTTGCCTTGGGTTTGTGGACTGCTCGAGTATCCACAGCTTGAGAGGTGGCAGTGGTGGTGGTGGCACTGTGGTGGTGCCGTGGTGGCACCATGAATGCCTTGTCTCCAAGGTCTGGCCTGGCCTCTAGGCCTGGATCTGATCAGGATTCCCTGGGGCTCCTGGAACCTTTCTTCTCTGAACTGCAGAGGTTGGAATACACCTGAAAATTGAAGGGGCCAGGCCCACCAATGAGATTGTACACAAGGGCCCTAGAAAGCTTTGGAGATGTTTCTCATTCCCCAGTGGATTCAGTGTGCTTGACTTGGTTTGTTCCATATGGTTGTAGTTTACAGATTCAAAACAGAACAGAACAGAGCCGAACCTACTACTGAGTAAAATCCAAAACCCAAAAGGCACAATTCGTCCCATTCAAAGACATACTGTATTAAGCTGGGTATGATGGCACACACCTGTAATCCTGGCAGTTGGGAGGCTGAGGCAGGAGAGTCATTGTGAGTGCAAGATCAGCCTGGGCAGCCAGTCATGGTAGCTCATGCCTGTAATCCTAGCATTTGGGAGGCTGAGGCAGGAGGGTCATTGTGAGTTCAAGATCAGCCTGGGCAGCCAGTCATGGTGGCTCATGCCTGTAATCCTGGCAGTTGGGAGGCGGAGGCAGGAGGGTCATTGTGAGTTCAAGATCAGCCTGGGCAGCCAGTCATGGTGGCTCATGCCTGTAATCCTGGCAGTTGGGAGGCTGAGGCAGAAGGGTGTTGCAAGTTTGAGACCAGCCTGGGCTACAAAGTGAGCTCAAGGCCAGCCTGAGCCAGGTAGTGAGATACTGTATCAAAAAGACAAAAACAAAAACAAAGACATCCTGCAGGAGTGTCTTCAGGGGCAGCTGGTGTGTGTGGAGAGTGTGACTTTTTCGTATTCTTTTACTTAGACTCTGGAAGCAAACACAAAGAAAATCGGTACATTGCAAGTAATTTCTTCCCAATAGTAGAGACAGCTCCAGAGATGACAGTTTTGTTGCCTGTCGGATGTTCCCTGGTATTGATCTAACATTGCGATTTTATTCCAGCAATGTCTCTGTCACTGAATATATATGTATAATATCCGTGTGTGCATGGTCTCAGCCTGTTGTGTCTTCCTTCGAAGTGGCTTTATCATCTTCTTTTCTCATTGATGAGTTACATCAATCTGATTCACTGTGTATTTGTATGAAATTCATACTTGACATTTTGAAAATAGTACTTTTGACATGAAAAAGAAGCCAGGGTCAAGGGGCAGGGAAGAGAGAGCCCACGTTTCCCACGGAGGACCAAGGCGAGCGTCACGGGGCTTCCCCATGGCTGTGCAAAGCAGAGGAGGGCGGTTCGCTTTAGGAAAACGGTCCCATTACCGGCGTCCAGCCAGTGAGTGAGCAATGCTGTGGCAGGTGTCTCTGCTGCAGCCTGGTTTTGGGCATCAGTTTTCTCTTGGCCCTCTGGTTTGGGAAGTTCGTATTGAGCTGTCTCCAGGCCTACCCATTTTCCCTCCAGCTTTGTGCAGTGCATTGATACTGATTAGCCCGTCAAAGACACTGCACGTTTCTTTCACAATGTTTTTTATTTTTGTTATTTTCTTTTGACTTTTTTCCTGGAGGTTTCTATTTCTCTACTTACATTACCCTCCTGTTCTTGCATATTGTTTACTTTTTTCACTAAAACTCTTAACATATTAACCATAATTATTGTAAATTCCTGTCTGGTAGTTTCAACATCTGTGTCGGAGATCTGAGTTTTTTTCTGATGACAGATTTCAGATTACTGAGATCTTTAAATCTATAAATTATCTAGCTATCTGTCCATTCACCCATCCATCCATCCGTGTCTGTCCATCCATCCACCCATCCCCATCTGTCTGTCCATCTGTGCATCCATCCACTCATCTACCCATCTGTGCATGCATCTTCTGTCTGTTTGCCTGTCTACCTACCTTCCTGCCCATTCTCTTTCCCTTACCTGGAGAGGGCTCCTCTTCCCGAGCCTTGAGTGTGTATCACGCTGTCCTTTTGTTAAGCATGAGGTCAAGCTGCTTCCTCAGTGGTCCGGAGAAGGCATATTGTGTCTGTACCAGCAGTGGCACTGGCTTTTCTCTACAGGCGTACTTGGCTTCACCTCTTGTGCCTTATTTATCAGAAAATACATTGGCGGGTCGCTGGCCACCAGTGGCGATCCTTTTACTGCGGTATAGAGCTAAGCTCACAAGGTGACTCACAGTGTGCCTCTGACAGTGGCCACCAGCTTTATGTGGGCATTTAAATGTCAGTTAACTAAAGTTAAATAAAACATAAAGTGAATAGTATCACATTTCTGCCTTTGGCTAGTGGCTGCCTTACTGGGCCGCCCTGGTGCAGAAGAATTCTGTTGCCGCAGGAAGTCCTGTTGGACAGAGGGAGCATGTTACGATTGAGACAGTACCTGAACCACTCTCAATTGTGTAAGACTGACATAGCCAAGTACATACAAATATTCAAGATGGAGAGATAAGCAGCAAAGTCCAACCATAAATAAAACCCAGTTGCCATCTGGCTTTTTCCTTCTGCTCTCGGTAACATCTGTTTCCTCTCTGCTTCTTTTCTGGCTACATCATGTCAATCTTTGCATTCTTACCTAGGGGCTCAAATCACTCTTCCTGTTCCTTGCAGTCACATGAGGGCCACGGGCATGTGTGCTGGAGGGTGGCATCTGCCCAGGGCCCAGCGTGGGGCTCAGGTCAGAGTGGGTCCCTCCTGACGGCATGGGCACCCCAGCTTTCCACAGGGTAGTCTCATTCTCCCAGCCCCTGACAAGATTCCTGCCTGGGACTTGGAATGGCCCGAGCTGGGCTCTTGGGCCTGGTGTGCTGTGTGTCTGGAGTTGTGTGCCTGCAGCACGAAGCAGGGTTGCTGAAGTTGATGTGTTTGAGTCTCAGTGTTGACGTGGGCTGTGAGGGCTCCCTTGTTTCTGGTCCCAGGCTGCCCTACCGCAGCAGTCTCTGAAGCTTGCAGGCAGGGAAAGAGCATCCCTGAGGCAGCTGGAGGAAGCCAGTGGGCCCTGGTGTCTTTCCTGGGCCGCAAGGCTGTGGTGTGGGCAGTGTGTCAGGCCTGGGCCCTAAGCATCTGAGGTGAAGTCATCTTCCCTGCAGCTCCCAGGCTGGCACAGTACCCCCACTCAGAGTTCCAGATTTCAAGCCTCAGCAGTCCACCCTTTGCAGAGAATCCTGTGTTCAGCAGCTTGAGCCAGACCTCTGCTTGGGGCCTCTCCTCTGGCCAGCACCCCAACATCCAAGAGCAGGGTGAGATGGAGGCAGAGAACAGCAGCACCAGCCTGGGTTGTGAAGGCTGCGCTTGCGGCTGGCACAGCGCCCAGTGCCCGAGATGCCCCGTGCAGCGGGAACATCATCGTTCATGACACCGGCATTGGCCCAGTTTGCGGCCTGGCCCTTGGGCACCCACAGCAGCGTGGCAGATTCTCACTCAGGAGGGGGCCTCATCCCTGTACCGAGTCTGTCTTCCCCGTGGGCTGCCTTAAACTTTGGGAATCCCTGGGCCACAACCTCTCAAGATCCTATTCTGTGTTTATTTAGCAAGGAGTTGGGGGTCCTAAACCATCCTTTTCATATGGAATTACTTTTGAAAGCCATTTCTAAATTATAGAATCTATAGAAAATTTCAGAAATGCAAAAATACTAAGAGAAGAAAATAAACACGATTGGCTGTCCATTGTTCTACGTAATCATTGTTAACACAATGCTTTTGTAACATTTTGTCTAAGCAGATAGCTTTGTGTCTTTTCATCGAATTTTCCATAGTTTAGAACATACTGTACACGTGTCACCTTGTTTTTTCATTTAACAGAATATCATGAATATTTTTACAAGTAATTCATTCTTCTAAACTTTATAATTTCCATCTGTACATCAGACATTTGAAACATAAATTCATTATCCCAAAGCATAAAGAATATAGAATGTTGTAGAATATATAATGGAAGTAAATGTAAAAGATACATTCAACAAGGATTGCAAAGCTCATCTTACATTCAGAAACAAAGATTTTTTAAAATTTATTTTTCATTTACTTATTAACTGTGTGTATCTTTTTGAGACAGAGTCTCACTTTGTAGCCCAGGCTGGTTTTGAATTTGCAGTGATTTTCCTGCCTCAGCCTCTTGAGTGCTGGGATTATAGGCATGTGCCACCCACCCAGCCAAAATTTTGATTTTAATCTGTGCCACCAAGATAAGTTCCCCAAGCCCAATGTGGGACAAAAATTCAGAGTTTGGTTTGTTGGTATTGTGGGTGGGCAGAGGTATTAATAGGTCCCAGGCTCTTAGGTTTGAGCCAGTATCTCCTGTACACCACCAGGGCCCAGCAGGATGTTTCCAGAGAACTGGAAGTCATTTGTCCCAGCCATGGCATTGCCTGCTGTCCACCCACAAGTGTGTCAGGTGTCTCTTGGGAAGTTGATCAAGGCAGCGGAGGGATGCTCTGGAGGGTGAGATGGGGGAGAGGTCAGTCCCTAAATGGTTGCAGGGACCAGGCGTGGCTCCACCTGGCCTTACCTGCGTGGGCGTGGGACCTTGATACCACTCTGGAAGCCACAGCCAGCATTGTGTATCAGGAGTGGTGTCCCCGAGGGAGCCCCACTGTCCTCAGAATCTTTGGCTCTGACTAAACAAAGTCTGTCCGGGCGGGGGGCAGATACAAGGGACAGAACTGCTGGGTTGAACCTTGGGGTTTAGTGTGACTCCTTGAGTGACAGTCACCAACATCACACATGTGGTACTATCAGCTGGTTTTTGTTGTAACCTCCAAATTACAAAGAGAAACAAGAGACCCTTGCACATTTTAACCAGGAAGCAGCCATTCTCGGAGCAGATTAAAAATTACCCCAGGAACTAGCTTCTAGTTTAGTGTCTGTGCCTGTACTTTCCTTAGTGCCCCTGTAACAGGCTTTGGAAATGAAGCTGAAAGGTTTTATCCCGTACATCTTTGTCATCTAACTTTTAGCATCAAGTTGATACAGCATTTATTGTTTTAATGTCTATAAGATCTGTACTGTTGTTACTTCTTTGATTTTTCGTATTAACAATTTGCATTTTCTCTTTTTCTTGGTAAGTCTGGCAAGAGAGTTATTAATTTTATTGATCTTTTCCTTTCTCTTCCCCCTTTCTGTTTGAAATTTTATTGTTTTCTGCTTCTATATTTATTCTCTGCCTCCTGCTTAATTGGAGATTTGGCTTTTATTCTTTCAGCCTTTAAAGCTTTTTTCTAATATAAATACAAAATACTATGAATTGCCGCAAATACTGCCTTAAATAAATACTAAAAATTGTAAAAGGTTGTGTTTTCATTTACTTCAAAATGTTTTCTGATTTGCCTCTGATGCAGTTCTCTGCGATGCAAAGGTCATATAGAAATATGTTCAAATACTTTGCTTTTTGTCTTTTTGAACCCTAAGTAACGGTGGAGTGAATTGGAGACTCTGTAGCACGCAGGTATTGGGGTTACACATGGCAGCGAGCAGATTTTGCATAATAAAGTGAAATGTGGTCAGCTGGCATTGTCGTCTGAGCACAATTTTAAAATCTTCAACTGACTTTAAAAGCTGATACCCTACATGACAAGGATCTGATAATCTGGGATAGGAAGATTTTGGAAAGCTTCTTAGAAATGTCTCCTTGTTGCTTCTAGAGCATTGCCACTGGGCAGAACTGGATTCCGAAAAACTCAAGAAGTCGAGCGCCTACACTGCTTTAAGGACTGGGAACTGGAACACAGAGCTTAGAACCTGAGAGCCCGAGGAGCCCTGTGGAAGCACCAAAGGACCCCGCACTTCCCACAGCTGCCGTGGCTGGAGGTTAATCCAGGGTGGGATGTGTGGAGGGGGCTCCCCTGGCTCCCACTGATGGCCTCCCTGGCTTGCAGTGTGTCTTGGTGTGACTTCAGAACAAGCCAGCCCACCATTGCCTGTCATCGCGTCCCCTGTGGTGTGCTCTGCGTGTCCAAGGTGGCCTCCAACACACCCTCGCTGCCCACATCCCTCCCATATGGTGCAGCCAGGGCCCTGGCAGGCACGAGGAGAGCAGTCCTCAGCATTCCTGTGTCACGCGAGACCTTTGTTTGCATCTTGTAAATTTTCTCTTTTTTCTAAAAATAAATAATAAAACCCTAAATCTCATAAACCACTCTATCACCCAACAAATCCCGCTGAGCATTATCAGCAGTTTTGAGGTGCCCCCTTTGCTCCACACATAGCTGTTCAGAGGACTGTCATGCAGGAGGCTGGCTACGCGTGGCCTGCAGGCCTTTGGGTGCGAACCTGTCTGTAGCAATTCATGTCTCCCCCCCCTTACTTGGAAATGGGGCCACAGAAAGTGGGGGTGCTGCTGGGCGGAGAATCCAACTTCAGAATGGCTCAACCATGTTTCCTGAGACCAAGTGCAGCCGCCACACCTCCTCCTGAAGACAAAGAACAGCACCTGTTGCGCTGCACATGCGCCCTTCTCCCCGTACCTGTGCCACTGTGCATGGTGTGGAGGAGGACAGGGTACTGCTGTGGTTCTCAGGTTACTGTTCACCTGCTGGCAGCACATCAAGAGCGGGCATTTTTGATATATTAAGATATCTGCAGAGTTGTCCTCTCTCGAAATGTTTGCCTAACTACACAGGAGGCGTCTCTGGCATGTCAGTAATGCTGGCGCTGTCTACCCATGGCCTTTATAATAACTCAAGTCCCTCTAGGCTGACCCAGTAATGTGCTTCCCATGAAACATATTAGAAAGCGTGAGAAAAATCTCAAATGACATCCCCAAGGTACACTCAAATACTTGACATAGCTGAGTGTGGTGGCACATGTCTCTAATCCTAGTCCTTTGGGAGGCTGGGGCAACTCAGCAACTTAGACGCTGTCCCTAAATGAATGAATGAATAGATAAATACACAGGACTGGGGTGTAACTCAGTGTAAAGGTCTTGGATTCAAATTCCAACTGCCCTTCTAGAGAAAACAAGTACTTGGAACATGATGTTGGAAGATTTTCCAGATTGCCTTGTTCGAAGCCAGTGCCGTAGTTCAGTGTAACTGATCGTAGTTTGAATCTCCTGGTTAGAAAGCGTTGCATCGCAGTGCAGATCTGGTCAGCTCCCCAGCCCCGGGGTGCCTGGGCCTCAGGAAGTTCTCCTGTGTAAGTTACCTAAATAACTTACATTCCATAGAGTGAATTCAAACTTGCTTTCAAGTTACCTAAACCTTTTTGGAAGCCACAGCGTTGGGACTTGCTGAGCAGATCTGCCCTACATTTTCCTGCCGCCACTTTTTAGCACCACCAGTTACGCTTGCTGGGCAGCTGCAGCCTATTCCTGCCGTCTGGAGTGATGGGGTTGCATAGCAATGAGTACTGTGCTGGACGCTTGCCTGGTGCAGGGAGACCTGCATCTCATTGCCCACAGCCCTGTGCCTAGATCCCATTTTAAAGAGATGCAAACCAAACTCAGTGTGGATAGCAGTCCGGGGCCAAGTGGAAAGCTAAGAGAGCTGGAGCTCTTTATCTCAGGGAGAATATTTCTGACTATTTGAAAATGTAGAAGAGACAAAGGGTCAGAAACAGCAGTAGGAGCAGTGGGTGTGATTAGCACTGACACACACTGGCTTCAATGCTGGGAGCTTGTGGTATTAGCCGGAACTTCAGTGACATCTGTTGTAAAAGGAGATCTTTTGTAATTAATTGGTTTAAGAATCCATCCTGGGAGTATCCAGAGAACATGGCAAGTGTCAGAGAATGCTCACTACTTGGGTGGCACTGGATTGAACGAAGCATAATCAGAGAAGCAGCAGGAAGAACCTCTAGCCTGACTCGAGTGGGTCAGAGGAGAGCATACAGCATTTAAGTGGCATCAAAAACATGGGGAATTTCCACCCTGCTGTGGCCTCCTTTCATGGGTCATTCCCAATTGTTACTGTGGGAATATGGCTAAAATTAGAGCTGGGTTCTGTGTGCAGAGCATAAAATGTGCTGTCTGTACATCCCTCCCAACATCCCTGACTCCTGATTCTGCTTGTTTATAAAGCTTGCTGTTTATTGTCCAGTAAAACATCATTTGAACGAGGACGGGAGAAGAGAACCCTACCATGTATGGCTTTTCTGAGAAGCCTTGGCTGTGTTTAGGCCCAGCACTTAAAACAGAGCGTGGAGCCCATGACTTTGGAGAGCAGGCTCCGTTTAATCTTGCCTTTCCTGGTTTACTTTATAGGAGACCAGGCTCTGTGGCCACACACAACATAGACCAAATAAAGGCATCACCTGGGGCTAGGCTTCAGGCTGGTGGTCCAGGGAGGGAGTCTGCCCTGCCAGGCTAGCCCAGCCATAGATGGGCACTGGCTGGCACACAGAGAGGGTGGGGTTTTGCCAATTCCAATGTAAAGAACAAATACTTCCACCCACACTCTGATTCCTCTGTCTTAATAGTAATTTAAAGCCAGAGAGATAATCTTTTCTAACACTAATGGGTCATTTTCTGCCTTTTTCAGTCAGGTACTTTCATAATTCATTTGCAACTCATTGCTAACTGGAGCCTTTTAAAATAGAGTTAAAGGACCTCAACTCATGGAACCTCCACTTGGTTATATTACAGGCGTGGTGGTGCACACCTGTAATCCCACCACTTAGAAGACTGAGGCAGGAAGATTGCCATGAGTTCAAAGCCAGCTCAGGCTACAAAGTGAGTTCAAGGCTGGCCTGAACTACATAGCAAGACTCTGCCTAAAGACAAAAAAAAAAAAAAAAAAAAAAAAAAGTAAGGTTCTGTTTTTACCCTGACCTGGAGTCCAGGGTTAAGGTGTTCAGTTTTTGGAGGTCTTGAAAGCCATCCTTAAATTTAAGCATTGTGAAATTATCTATTAGTGATAGTATTTTAGATTTTAAATCTAAATTAATACCTTAACTTGTGCAGTTTGTTGCTATTTTTAGGGGCCTTACAACAATTTGCTTTTGAGTTTCCCCTCAAGGGTGTGTGACCTAAAGGCTTGGTGACACAGGCAGTAAGCAATTGGAGAAGCCTGACAAGGGGCCACCTGCAGTGGAGACACAGGTGCCCTCCACAGGGCAGAGGTGGCCAGGAGGCCAAGGAGGAAGTGGCAGGTACAGCTGCTTCAGAGTATGTGAGAAGCGACATTCAGATGACTGCTGGGAGACTAGCTGACCTGGGTCTAGGGAGAGAGGAGGCCCAGGGGAGGGGGCAGGGACCAGTGGGACTTTGGAGGGAGGTGGCACTGGACTGCAGAGGTGTGGCCAGTCCTGCTAACACCCTTCGGTTTTGTCCTGTCCCCTCCCGTCTGCTCCAGGCTGCCCTGTCCAGCAGGTTGTCCTTCTCACTGTGATGCTCAAGGGTTGATGCAGCTGTCCCATTGTGCTGTGACCATGGCCCCTGGACAAGGACAGCGGTGTCATGTCTCTGCAGGTCACCAGGCTGTCTGGACTTGGACTGAATCCTGGCCATGCTGCTGACCTGCTGTAAGAATTCAGGACTGTTTACTTCCTCATCCTCTGAGCTTCTACTCCCTGCCCCCTCTCATCCAGTGGGGACATCCCCAGCTATGTGGGTCACTTGAGAGCATGCCAGGCTTGGCACTGGATGGGTGTGTGCTGAGTGTCCACCATACCCTTCCCATAGCCGGCAGGAATGGATTCCCCCAGTTCACTTCCTGAACCCCTGTTCCTCATGGTCTTCCTGATGGGCTTGGCATGGTCCGTCCCACTGAACTGTTTTGATGAGACATCGCCGCCTGGCACGCATCCCTGGACTGCTTTTCTCTGTCTTTTTGTCTTGCTGAACACAGTGCGCATTGGGCTGGTCCTGCATTACCAGTCGCCCTCGGATCAGTAGCTGCATTACCTCTCATCCAACCCACATTCTTCTTTCCCACGGTGCCCATCCTGCTGAAACTAAACCACACCATTTCACAGCATGTTGGTGATAATTCAGTAATCTTGTCATAAAATATTAGTATGGCACGAGGCGTTGTGAACTCATCTGGCTTCCCACAATCACTGTGTTCTTTTCCACAGGCTTTCATGCCATCTTTCCACCCATCTATTCCAGAATGTTTTCGGGGACCCACATCTCACTAGGCTGTTGGCTGAATCTGCAGCCCATTTTATCGAAACTGGGATTTTGAGACATGTTTAGTTTCCTAACCCCCTCTGGCAAATATTTTTCAAAGTCTCAGTGGTAACTGTGTTCTAAGATCACATCGTGAGAGACTCTTGTAGATCTTGTCACTTACCTCGGGCTTTAAGTACCCTTCTGTGATACTTAATTTTGCCTGTTTCACCAAAGTAGGTCCAGCAAGCAGCTTGCTCCAGCACATAACCCTGCCCCAGAGCCAGTCTGAGCCCTGCACTTGCGTCAGCTCTCCCAGCTGGCTCAAGCTTCAGAAAGGGAGGACAGTAGCCGCGGAGGATGGGACATCTTCCCTGGTGACCAAGTGACCAGGCCGGCTGCAGGTGCCTGCTGCTGGCAGAAAGCAGGAGGCACTGAGTCAGGGCCAGGATGGGCCTTGTCACTCCCAGCACAGCAGTACGAGTGCGAATACCCTTCCCCACACTGGCGACACCAAGGACCAAGTCGTGCTGCAGGAAGGTCCTGAGCAGCGGCAGCCACCTTTCCTGGTTGGCTGCAGCTCCACCCCTTGCAATGTCACCCGTTTTCCTGCTGTATGACCAGCATCCAGTTGCTGCCCTCTGTGGCCAGGAGGTCCTCTGAGCCTGCAGGGCGATGCATCTTGCCACATTCTGGGCTGTTAGTGTGGTATTCAAGTGTGCCAGTCAGCTTTGTGGCCTCTACCTAAACGCCTGATATCCAGGCTCCTCCCCACCAGCCCTGCCCACTACCCAGGTCACCACCTATCCAACCTTGCCCCTGCCCCCAGAAGCCCATTTAGCTTGGAGTAGGTGAATCCATAAGTGAGACTGGCACCCTTGTGACCCTGTGACCTGCTGGAAACCTGGACTCTGAACACAGGTGCCTTTGCGAAGGATGTTTTTGATGGAAACCAGAACACCCAGAAAAAAATAGGCTTTGCTCTGTGCATCGTCTCCTGCTTTCAAGCCAAGTGCAGACCCAGGGTCATTGGTGGTCCCACAGGACCCTTGTGCTTGTGCTTCTCCCCTCCCTCT